GTGCCAAATTCTTATAACCACTCCGAGAAAAATACGATCCGAGTTTTTTCCCCAAGAAGCAAATAGCAAAGTTTTCGCTACACGAGGCGCAAGTAACACCATTTTGTTGAGAGTAAAAGTTGTCCAGACCACAGATATCCGACCATAAAAAATCACTAAATCACCTTTCGATTGGGCAATCTGTTTACCGGAATCTCATTTCGGTCCATAAAACGCATCAAACAGTCACATGTTGAAATTAATAAGCTCTTCGCACACCAGAAGCAACTTCACTCCACGAGCGAATTCAAAGCGAGTTAAATTATTAACAATTTATTCAAATATTTAGTTTTTTTCTGGGAGAGGATCCAGAAGACCTGGTTTGACGTGGCCAATTTTCGTAACTGATCTAATTTTGACATAAATATTACTATGTGCACAATTTAAACTAAATCCAATACTCCCTTTGATTTTTAATAGTTCATCAACGCCCAGACGAAACGGCTAGAGTGAGGGACACTGGCTGAGTGAGGAGGCTGGGTTTTTGGAAATGTGTACTAGAACGGTACGAAAAGTAGTAAAAGGTACTAAATATGGTATACTAAATTTTGTATTTGATTATGCAGTAGAGGTTTTGCAAAATGCGTACTCCTATTGTTCGAAAAGTACTAACAGGCGTCTAGGATGGATGGAGAGGTGTAGATTGTTTTGGTTGTAATCACGCTATCATTCGAACAAATTGAGATAGAATGCTCAAATTTTGCACACATGTTTATTTTGCCACCAGGCATGTTAAGTTCGTATATGGGCCATGTAGGTCTTGTATAGCCCCCATATAATGGTACCTTCCTATATTCGGTATTTTGATGATTTTAGCGACATTTTTCACCGGAATTGTTTCAAATTTGGTATTTGGAGTTCGTAATGAATACTACAGCCTATGACAGAAAATTGTCTATGCAAGTCCAGGTCTTCGTATAGCCCCCATATAACGGTACCTCCCTATATTCGGTATTTTGATGATTTTAGCGACATTATTCACTGGAATTGTTTAAAATTTGTTATTTGAAATTTGTAATGCATACTACAGCCTAAGACAGAAAATTGTCTTTGCAGGTCCACGTTATATAGCCCCCATATAACGGTACCTCCCTATATTCGGTATTTTGACGATTTTAGCGATATTTTTCACCGTTTATTTCAAGCTTCGAATTTGAATATGGTGATGACTTATGAAAACAAAGCCTATGTAGGTCCACGTCGTATAGACCCCAATATAACGGCTATACTCGGCATTTTTAAGATTTTAACAGAATTTTTAACGGATTTTATTTTTTTGAAAATTTCCAAGTTCGTTCCAAATGGTGGGTGGGTATTCAAATTTCGGCCCGGCCGAACTTACTGCTTTTTAACTTGTTAGTGTTTACATATGGAGACGTTGAAGTAGTTTAAGACAGAAAAATTGGATGTGGGTCTATTGTGCAATGGTTTTACTAATATCCCCCTCTGTAAGCTTCAAAATGAACGATTTTGAAGACTTTTTGGTGTAAAAGGTAAACATTTTCATGTTATTTCTGTACGAAAACGGAAAACTTGAATAATATCTAAAACTTTGAAGAGCAGAATATTTAGCAGGATGTATGGAGTTCAGATTAATAAAAAATGCATATTGTACTAATTTCGCATTGTTGAGTAGGAAAAAGGACTAACACGAACTGTTAAACCGAATCTATAATTTTATGGTGGTATTCTCGCTGACGAAGTAGCGAAAATTGTACATGCTGGTTATCACTACTAATTATTAGAATAATAATATAAAACCACATTATTTTTTTTTAACAATTTCCAAAAATAATTTTAGAAAAAAATGATTATTTAAACTAACCAAATACCACAACAACAACTACAATGTAAATAAATATTTTTTAAAAATAACTTCTTGAAACGAAAGCAAATAAGTTATTCAAATCTGAAATCTATTTGTTTAGCATTTTGCGTAAAATTGAACACAGCAGGCGAATGAATTATCAATGGCTCGTCAAATGGTTGGTTGAACATCAACTATGTATGTGTGTGTAGTTTGGTGGTCAGTCAGTCTGTCAATCATCTTCCTCTCCACAAAAAATATCACATAAAAAAAGCTTGGCTAAATAAATGGCCATAACGCTTATTTGCCATTCGGAGATATATATATAAATGTGGCAATATAAAAATGATGAATATTCTCCCCCCACCACCACTACAACAAAGGCAGTAACAACAACAAGAAAAAAAGACTTTAGATAGATGATTGTGAAGATGGATGGATGGTTGGTTGGTTGGTGGGTTACTCCACTCTGGATGGATGACCAAGTGTATTGTTGTTGTGTGGCATCAATCAGCATTGGCAGGCCAGGCTAACAAAGACAACAATGCCAACCAGACAGCCACCGAGATTCAAAGTGAGTTTTCTTCTTCTTCTGATTTTGTTGTCAGTATAACTTGTTTAGGATTGCGGACAAAAGAAACCCCAAAAGAAGAGAGGGAGGGTGGGGGAGCGGAGCCCATAGAATTCCCCCAAATTCGTTACACTGATGTTTTGCCTTAATTTAAACACTTTTCTGCTCGAGTGTAAGCCACTTATCGATACTTGTAATCTATTATTTGATCTCAATTGAACAATGATGAATGGACAAAATTCAGTAGAGTTACAATAACTCCCAAAAAAACTCTGAACATATTCAAATGAAAAGCCAAGCCAAGCGTTTGAAGTAGGAAACAAAAGCAATAGAAAAAAAGATACGAGAAACCATTAACAATAAATGGTAACAATGTAGCAAAAGTTAAAACATAAATGCCTTAACATGGGAATAAGATAACGGAGATACTCTGCAAAGAGTTTAAGACTTGTTGGGTGAACTCAATGACAATTGGATTATTTTTTGGCAATATGGTAACCTATGAAATAGGTTATAGGAATAGATTATGGAGAGACCTTAAGCAGCTTTTAATTTGAAGAAAATCTATTATACCTCTGAGGCCAGGTAGTCCATGGTGCATTCCTCTGAGACCACCTATTCTAAGATAGAGTCCTCTAAGGCCAACTACTCTGCAATTGAGGCGCCTAAGGCCATTTACTTTACTGCAGAAGCCTTAGAAACTTACTTTTCTACAGTAGATGCCACTGAGGCCGGCAAATCTACGGTAGAGGGCTCTGAGACCAGCTATTTTAGGTAGATGCTTCTGAGGTCACCTATTCTAGGGTAGCGGCCTCTGAAGCTAATTACTCTACAATAGAGACCTCTGAGGCCAGCCACTCTACTGTAGAGGCCTCTCAGGTCAGTTACTCTATAGTAGAGGCCAGATATTTTATGGTAGAGGCCTCTGAGGCAAGATATTCTACAGTACAGTCCTCTAAGGCCAGCTACTCTACAGTAGAGGCCTCTGAGGACAGCTACTCTACGGTAGAGGCCTTTGAACCCAGCTACTCTACAGTACAGGGCTCTGAGGCCAGCTATTGCACAGTAGAGGCCTCTGGGGCCACTTACTTTACAGTAGGGGCTCTGATGCCAGCTACTCTATCGTATATGTCCCTGAGATCAGCTACTCAATACTGGTATGCTATAAGGCCAGCTACTCAACATCAGAGGCCTCTGAGGCCAGCTACTTAATAACAGAGGCCTCTGAGACCAGCTACTCTATTTTAGAGGCCTCTGAGACCAGCTACTCTATATTAGAGGCCTCTGAGGCCAGTCACTCCACAGCAGAGGCCTTTTAACCTAGCTTTTCTACAGTAGAGGTCTCTGATGTCGGCTAATCTACAATAAAGACTTCTGAGGCCAGTAGAGGCCTCTGAGGTCAGATACCCTACAATAGAAGCCTCTGAGGCCATCTACTCCACAGTAAAGGCCTCTGAGGTCAGTTAATCTATAGTAGAGGCCAGATATTCTACACTATAGGCCTGCTACTCTACAGTAGAGGCTTTTGAGCCCAGCTACTCTATGGTAGAGGTCTCTGAGGCCACCTACTCTATCGTATATGTCTCGGAGACCAGCACTGGCAAACTATAAGGCCAGCTACTCAACACCAGAAGCCTTTGAGGTCAGCTACTTAACAGCAGAGTCCTCTGAGACCAGAGTATCTACAGTAGAGGCCTCTGAGGCCATCTACTTTACAGTAAAGGCTCCTTTGGCTATATACTCTACGGTAGAGGCCCCTGAGGCCAGCTGCTCTATGGTAAATAGCTCTAAGGACAGCTACTCTACAGTAGAGGTCTTTGACACATTAGATGTCTCTGAGGACAGCTAATGCACAATAGATAACTCTAAGGTCATCTAATGCATAAAAGAGGTCTTTGAAGCCAACTACTCTACATTAGTCGTCTCTAAGGTCGGCTATTCTACAGTAGAGGCCTCTGAGGTCAGCTATTCTACAGTAAAGGCCTCTAAGATTAGATACTCTGGCCTCAAAGGCCTTTGACACCAGTTACTCTGAAGTAGAGGCGAGCTACTCTTTATTAGAAGGCTCTGAGGCCTCATACTCCACTTTATCGGCTTCTGACATAAGCTTTTCTGCAGTAGAGGGCAGCTACTACAACTACTCTACAGTAGAATGTTCTGAGGACAATATTGTGAAGGCCTCCATTAATTTAAAATAAGAAGTGATTAAATTCCTATATAACTTGAAAACGGATTTCCTTTCTCTTTCATGGTTCAATTTTAGGAAACTTTTGTTCTAATCTTTCATTTTCTTTTCAGGTTTTCGGGTTCTGGTAAAAATAAATTTCCTCAAAAATGTCACAAAGATAGCAATGCTGATGCAATTTCCCCAGTCGCTTCCCAATGAACATCTCACATAGAAAAGACCACATAAAACCACAACGGAAGTAGTCACCTAAAATAACAACCTCCTCCGAAATATTGTCCTTCTCCGAGACGCACCTATGATGATGTATCCCGATAAATGTTTGGAAAAGGCAAATTTACACAATCCATCGCCACACCTGCCAGCGACACTGAATGAAATGCATCATTCGTCGGCACATCACCATCACCACTCGCATGCGGCGCATCATCATCATCACCATGGAGTGCAATTAGTCGCCAGTGATGGCAACACCAATAGCAGCAATCATCAGCATCATAACCTACAAATTCAGGCCCATCATGCGGCGCTGCATGCGCCACCGCATCCAACAATTCTAACAGCAGCGGCGGCAGCAACGGCAACACCTGGTGTTTTGCATGCGAACCAGCAACAGGCTTTGCAGCAACAACACCTTTTATTACAGCAACAACATCAGCATCATCAGCAACAACAACAATCAGGTGGAGTGCCTGTCCAACAGCAATCGCTCGCGCACCCGCATGTGCCACACGCTCCTCCACAGCTGCCACCGCATCATTCCCAGCTGCCACAGGGCCAACCGCAGCAGCATCAGACACCACATGTGGTTGCTGGGCAACAGCAGCAGCAACAACAACATCAGCAACAGCAATCACAGCAGTCACAATCCACACAATCACATGGCCAACAGCAGCAGCAACAACAACAGCAACAGCATTCAGCCATGTTCACAAGGTAAGCCAGATTGTCATGTCATTGCGAGCAATGCTGCGTTTTGATTGCAATTTTTAAAAAAAGAACAGGTGGGAATGCATTTTGTTTTGATTTTTTTGAAATGTCTACACGTTTTCGCCAGGATAATTGATGGTGTTAAAAGTGACACGAGCTTTCGTCAGTTCGTCAAAACAAATTATGAAAAATGAGATGTTATTTTTTGTCTTTGGATAGACGGTGATTGGCGTTTGCAAAAAAGGGTATATAGAGAAGTTCGGTTTCTATGGAAGATGATAAAGAGGTCCTTTATTTATAAAAATTCAATATTTCCCGGGAAGAAAGAAGAATTTCTGTTTGTGCTATGAGACCAGCTACTCTAGCGCCCTCTGATCAGATACGCTATAGTAGACGGCTTTGAGGCAAGTAATTCTACAGTAGAGGACTCTAAGGTCAGCAATTTTACTGTAGTGATCTCTGAGACCAGATGCTATACAGTAGAGGCCTCTGAAGCGAGCCATGGGATAGAATAAATTTCACCAATCTTGAAAAATCAGTACCAAATACCAGTAACTTTTTTGCACATTTCATAGGGAAAGTTTCAGAATATCTCTAAAAGTCCAGAGAAATAGCTTTTTTAAAAAAGCCAAATATTCTTAAAATTCGAACGACAAGATAATTAAAATTGCTGACTATATGTGGGAGGAACCAATATTCCATTTCCCACCTACCCATTCTCGATTAAATATTCGAACTGAATAGACGTTTTTTTTGAGCCTGTAAATAAAAAAAAACATTTCTGGAAAAAATATTTGTTAATATTTTTAAAAAGCTTTGAATATCTTCATTTACGAAGGTACCAATAATGTCGGCGGAGGATTGACTTTATCAGGAAAATGGACCCCACACAAATCTACGAGAACATCTAAGAGAAAATCTAACGCAATCAAGCTTTTATGAAGAAGAATCAATGGATAATTCCGAAGATACAATCCACAATTCGAAATCCAAGCTAGTTGGTAAACCATGATCCAAGACTAAAGCTTCTGATGAAAGAAGACATCGTAAAGATGGTCGTCAAAAGAAATTTTCATCAGCACACCAAATTGAAAAGGTTAGTAAAACAAATTTGGTTTTGCTCAAGCCCAAAGATCAATCTCAAATGAAATGACCAAGATTGTGTGAATATTCTGAAAGTCCACCGGATTCTCAAAACCGATTTTCTCTGCTTGGGAATATTGATATTCTCTACTCTCTCTCTCTCTCTCTCTCAGGATATCTATTCCATTAATGAAACCGCAATACTCCAAATACCAACATCTCATTCAAATCTCAAAACAGTCTTAAAGGGGTCTGTCTCCTAATTTTTATACCCTCAGTCATATGGCTAGAGAGGGTTTATATCATTTGATACGGCTAAAACGTGGCTCACCGATTTTTTTTAGATTTTTTAGGTTTTAGATCCACCAAATCAACTTCAGGACATTTGGAATCGATCTAGCGATGTCCGTCCGTCCGTCTGGCTGGTTCGCACGATAACTCACGAAGGGAGTATCTGATTTAGTCCAAACTTGGTACTTGGTGTCGAACATAGATCGAGTTCGGAGATGGGTAACAACGGGCCACTAATTTTGGTCCGCTCTAAGAAAAGCCCAACATTTTCAAAAAAAAAAAAAAAAAAAATAATAATAATAATAATAATAATAATAATAATAATTCGATTATGGAGAATCTTTGCAAATCCCGATATTATTGCTAGTGCTAAAATGGACAATATCGGTCCACTCCATCAATTATCTCCCCCACAAAGAGTCAAAATTTGGAATAATTATAGTTCCTATAAAATGAGATATACGAGTCCATTAGTCTTCAAATTGCACACATTCCTATGTTTGTATTAACACAAGATCAAGGATGAAGGTGGAATATATCGGTCCAGACCTTCTGGTAACTCCCTCATAAAGGGTAAACATTTTGAAGCATTGTAACTCTTACAAAATAGGATGTAAGGGTCCGATTGTCTTCAAATTACACACATCACAATACTTTAATTAACCTAAGGCCTGTTGTGAAGATGGAATATAACGGTCCACTCTTTCTGGTATCTCCCCCACAAAAGATCAAAATTTCCAAAAAAAAAAAAAAAAATATTGCACAGAAAGAGAAAGAATAATCCGATTTTGCTCCAACTATCCTAATATTTTCATCAGTGTTATGTCAGGTGTGAAAATGGAAAAAATCTATCCATTCCTTCAAGTACCTTCCCAACACAGGGTCAACGTTTTGAATAATTATAACTGTTATTAAATGTGATGTAAGAGTCTCCGATAGTCTTCAAATTACACACATCCCATTACTTCTACTAAAACAAGATATCCTGTGAAGATGGGATATATCGATCCATTCCTTCCGGTACCTTCCCCACAAAGAGTCAAAATTTTGAATATCCATGAAGCTCATAAAATGCGATATTAACATCCGATTCCATTCAGACTTGATAGATCTCAATATATGTGTGGGTGCGATATATCGGTCCATTCCTTCTGATATCTCCCCCAAAAAGGGTCAACATTTTGAAAAACAAATGGCACAAAAAATACGAAATTAGCATCCAACTCTCTTCAAATTTTAACACACACAAATATTTTTGCTAACCCAAGACTGCTGTCATTTCTAAGTCACTCGTCCGACAGCTTTTAAAATATCCGGTGACAGCTTGTTTACAAGCGTACAAAAGCATTTTGGTGAGAATTTTCCAGAAAAAAAGTTATTCGGGATAGAATTCAAGCGTGATAGTGTGATGGTAGCGTAGGTAGCGTAGCCCGACATCAAGGAATTGGACGGAAGCAAACAGCAACATCAGCAGAAATGGTTCGAAAAGTAAAGAAATGACTTGATAGAAACCCGCGTCGCAGTGGTCGAAAAATAGCTGGTGAGCTGAACATATCGTAATATTCCATTCGGCAAATATTGAAAAATAAGCTCGGGTTAAAGCCATAAAAATTCCAAAAAGTGCAAGAACTTACACCGCAACCACAACAGAAAGAAAATAGACTCAAAAGAGCTAAAGAGTTGCTTCGCTTGGCCGAAAGTGGTTAACTGCCGAATTTGGTTTTCTCCGATGAAAAAACATTCGTTGTCCAGCAGTTTGTAAACAAACAACATTATCGTGTTTAATAGCCAAAGAGTTCGGCTGAAAATGTGCACCTTCGGTTGGCCACCATAACAGCCGATGGTCGCCCTCCGCTCGTATTAATCGACTATATCTGGTACCTAACGCACATTTTAACATTTTTTAAAAATTATCGCATATCTCATATAAAGTGAAGGAAATTACCTATATGGTCCAAACCTGATACGACCCAATATTTATATCAAATTTATTTAGGTCTGATACGAAATTGACAATATTGGCATACTCCTTCGCAACCTACTCCATAGAGGGTCAACAATTTCAATAATCATTGCAGAAGTCAAAATATCTCTAAATAATCGAACATTACCTAAGGGTATACATCTGTGGGCAAATCCGGATAATAGTTTTTATCTTGGTTTTAAAACCGATGCTACTTGAGGAAATCCAAAGCTAATTTTCGAAGCTCTATATTTAAAGTTAGGAAATATGTCTCAATATATTAGGGTCTCTTTGTATAGGGTCAAGGCTATATATGTAGAGGCATTTGAGAAGTTTTCAAAGGCCTTTGTAATATTTTTGTTATTTTTAATTATTTAATTTATTTTTTTTATTTATTTATGTATTTTTTTGAACTGATCCGCAATTTTCAAGGACATTTTTGAAAAATATATAAAATTTCATGTTGAGACTATATTTGACAATTGCACCCACGACCAATTTTAATACTATTTTTTGTATAAAGCTCACATCTTTCAAATCGTTTCCAGGAGTAGAAAACCCCCCACCTCCCATTTTTTTGAACTTGTAAGTATTTGGAATATTGACATAAGTGCAATAATTAAAAATATGTTTTGTGTCATTGTCTTGTTGGTGTCATGGCTTCTGTTTGGTGATATTTTTGTTGTCATTGTTGTTGTTTTGTTCCAAAGATATTTGCAAACTTTAACCTTCAAACGGCACATGAATGAAAGAATGAATTGAGAAGGAGAAGGAAGGCAAGTTTGTTGCTTAAGTCTTTTGTTTTGGGATTTATACAAAACTAATAGAAACACACACATACACACACGCTTTTTCAAATTCACAATGTTTAACAACATTTTCTTAAAAACCAACTTACTTTTGTTGTTGTTGTTATATTTTTTTCAAATTTTTGCTTTTAAAGGTTTCCTAACCAAACCTCCTTCCGCTGCACCTCCTGGAGTCGAAAAAATATTCTGCCGTTGTTAAGGCCTTTTTCCTCAACGTTGTTTCATTGCCATTTGTTTGGAATTGTTGAAAATGTGTTGAATTTACTGACAATATTTGCACCAGGCAGGCTCACTTTGGCGGAGAACAGAAAAAACAACAACAACAAAAGAAAAACTACAACAGAAACAAAATATCTGATAGTGTTACTGGACGGTTGCTGTTACTCTTGGGATTTTTTTTTTTGGTTTAGCTTCAAACTTTTTTTCTATTTCTGTTTCATTTCTTTGTAGAGCTTGATGTTGTTGTTGTTTTTTGTTTCTTACGGATTTTACTAATGCTTATCAAGATTTAAGCTAAGCAAAGTAAGGAATAAAAAAAAACAACAAGAAACAAAAACAACCATGGTTTACAGCAGCAGCAAACCACGATGGTCGGGGCTCAACTTTTCAATATCGCCAAACGCCACAATAATGGGTTCAATTTGGAGAAATACAGGGGGCCATGTTTTCGTCATCCAACACATGATGGGAGTTCTTCCATTGGCTAAAAAAAATGTATGGCCCTCTAAAGCAGTTCTGCGAAATTTAAGCGTTTTTTTATTAACCAAACATAGATCAAGGTTTAAACTAATTATATGTTTTTCAATTATTTAACCTCTTTACTTCCACTCGGAGAGAAAAAAAGTGACAAGAGTTTCTTG